TTCCTTTTGATTTGTATGCATTAAATAGTTTGATTTCCTAGTGTTTGGGCATCTTGAATTTGGCTGAAATTTGAGATCTCCTAGATTTAGTTTTCTTTGGGCTCTAGCGGCGTCTAGAGATTTGGGAGAGATCGATCCTCCTCTCGAATTGAGGATCAATTGTATCTTTGCTGTTTTTTTCTTCTACTAGTAAAATACAAGCTGTTCTTCTAATTTTCTCTCAGCTTTTCCCTGTTTTTCCCACTGTTTTGATGTTTTTCCTGCTGTGAACAGCAGTTTGCATCGAGATTTGCTGTAGAAGTGATTTGGAAATACTTGAAAACAAGTATTTCCTATCATTCTCCTTTCATTTTCATTTAAGGAAATTGAGTTGTTGAATTAATTAATTACTTGTGATATGCGAAACCTCAATTTTTCTTTGCATGAAAGCATCTCACCCATCATTATTTATGACTTGTTCTACATTAAATTGGTTTCAAAGTCGTAGGTTATATTCTTTTGTTACTCAGAAGGGGCTAATTATCTAAGTAACTTGGCAGGTTGGAAAAAGGATGAAATTTTATTAACTTTGCAAAATGAGCTAATTGGATTGTTGAACAAACAAAATCAATTGAGTGATGACTTTAACATGGTTAAAGCATGAATGGACAAATTAAAAACTAGTTGTGTTTATTCACGTCAAACTAAAATAGATCTAATTATATTGATGAGCACGCTTGAATGTTAATTTTGATAGGAGACATGAGAATTATCTTGATAGACAATTTAGGGTGTCTAATAAGGTGATTTATGAAAATTATGAATATTGAAATTTTGACATAGATGATTACATAACCAGAAAAATTAAAATTGATCCTAATGTTTTTATTGTTGATCATTTGATATTGACAGTCTCTTTAAATGAATGTTTTTATTGATTGATCATTTGATATTGATAGTTTCTTTAAATGATAAATTATATTTGATGAATTATAAGTGCACTTTGTAAAGATCAAATTAACTGGTCAAGTTAAAATTTGTTGGATGAGTATGGAGAGGCTGAGACGTTGAGCAGGGAATCTATAATAGCTTGGATGAAATAAAAGAACTTATAAAATAGAAATATTTTCCTTAGTTATATTATGATGGATTACTTAATAAATTTAATTTGCTAAAGCAAGGGAATAATGTTAGACCGGTTCTCACTGAACCAATGGGGGCCGGCTATGGTTTACAGGAGGTGGACGAAACCATCCTTTTAGGTTTGCCGCCCAAGCCTTGTGGACCCCACTAGGCAAACCAATTATGAAAGGAGAGGAGGGTGGCCATGATTGGGAGGGAAAGTTTAATTAGGAGTTTGAAATTAGGGCATTAAGGTATTAAATAGGTGGAGTTGTTTAGGGTTAGGGTATGCTTTATTTTGTGGCTATTTTTGGAGTTCTTGTTCTTGGTGTCTTGGGCCCTAGATTTGATGTAGGCAAGGGAGGTCAAAACAAGTTGGGATTTAGTTTTTGTAAGCTTCTTCTTAAGCCAGCTCATTAATGATGAGCTACTATCTAATCAGCTCATTAATGTAATTAATTAGATTCATTTCCCATTCTATGTGCCTTTTTGGTTTGCTCCCTGGATGCTTTTCCTTGACTACCTCTTCCCCTTCTTGTGTTTCCT